TTAAATTCCGACCACCCTCACACATTTTTTGGCTCCGCCCCAGGTTGGAGAGGTAGACAATTAATAATAGGAAAATGCTAAGTATACACACCATGTACACAAGTTGTACATGGTATAAAAGCAAAAAAAAAACTCAAATTCTCCTCCCTCTTCTCCCTCTCTCGGTTCTCTCTTCCTTCTCTCTTCTTCCTCTCCCCCTTCTCTCTTTCCTCTTTACCCAGACTCTTCTAAAATTCTCAACAACAAAAAAATTATCTTCTTCATCCTCCTCTTTCCCTCTTCATCCTCTTTTTCTCTACCTTTATTTATCAATTTTTTTTCATTATTTGCACAAAATCAACTTATTCATCTTATTTCATATATTTTTATTATGTTTCTAATTTTATTTAAATTAATGTAAATTGATTACACATACAACTACATCCTTCATTTGGATGTATATCGAAAATTGAGTTTTTTGTTCATCCAGACAATTAAAATTGATCACACAGACAACTAAAGTTGATCACACAGACAACTATTGTCTGTGGAACGCACAACTATTGTCTGTGTGGTAAAAGTTGTCTGTGCACACAGACAAATAATTGTTTGTGCAACATGAAAATATTGTGTGTGCAAAGGCACTGCACATATATTGATTGATTTGCAAGCTGATGTCAGTGTCAGGCGGCTATCAGCGTACTTTTTACAAAAAAGTAAATGTCTGTGGACCGGTAGGGTTGTACACGAACCGAATCGAGTCGAATAGTAGGATTTTGTATCTGTATTTGTTTAATTTTTTCGAATACGAATTCGAATTCAAATATGAAACGAATATTAATTTCGATTTGTATTTGTATTTGTTTATCAATACGAATAGTTAACGAATCTTATACGAATATCGAATAGATTTGAGCATAGGTTAAATATTAGTCAAATGTCACTTAAAATTAAATTTTCTTATACTTTTTTATGTTGTAAATGTACGCTATGATTAATATTTTTTTTTTTTAGAATTTAAATTCAATGGATCAATGCATTTTTAGATTGTGCACGATATACTAAAGTGAATCATTTTTATGATTAATAAATATAAATCTATTTCAAACTTTTTGAAATAAACACTAACATATTATAAATTACACTTATAATGTGTGAAATAAGTTGATAATTGTATATATCAAAGTCAGACGACTCTAATTTTATTATCCGAATCGAATACATAATTATTTGTATTGTTTTTGAAAGACATTTGAACCAAAAATCCGATTTGTATTTGTATTTATACTCTGATTTATTACAAATGGACTTATAAATTGTATGCGTAAATGTATATATGAACTACACACTTTAGGGTATTGCTATCTTTTAAAAGTTATTATAGTGCTATTACTATTATTATTAATATTATTATTATTATTATTATTATTATTATTATTATTATCACTACTATTAATCGAATATATTTGATTAATGTTCGAACCGAATACACTGATATTCTTATGGGATATTACCCGAAATAGGACTTAAATGGCTTCAAAATTCCGAAATAGGACTCACATGTTTTTATTTCAAAAATAAGACTAATTACTGCCATGTTTTGGCAGTACCAGACTTCAAACATGGCATTAATTGCCAAACTTGGCAGTAATTGCTCCTATTTTGGGAATAAAAAACATGGCAGTCCTATTTTGGAATTTTCAAACTGTTTTAGTTCTATTTCGGGAACTTTCCCTATTCTTATTTGTATTTGATAACAAATCGAATCAAATTTAATATTCATATTTGTATTTGAATTTTCCGAATTCGAATCGTCTTATACGAATTTGAATCGCGAATCGAGCACAAATTATTTGATTCGTTTACAACCATATGTGGACACAGACAAAAAATGTTTGTGTACACAGACAACTCTTGTCTGTGACCACCGACAATTTCGTACCAATTGTCTGTGACCAACATTTTGTGTACAAGTTGTGTACAACTTGTGTACCCCTAGCATGGTTATTAATAATATAGGTAGCGGTAACAACACTACCCAAAATAAATTGATACCGTCTTATTTGAAAATGGAGTCGTGCCAAACGAGTTTAAGAGCCTGTTTGGTAACACTGAAAGCGACTGAATCAGCTGATTATGCTAAAATTTATGAAGTTCTGGTTGCATTGGATGCAATAGCTAATTCTTCTGATTTATAAAAAATTATATTTAAAACATCTTTTATTAATAAAATAAATAAAAAATTAAATGAAATTTTTTTGAGAAAATTTGGCATTTTCATTCAAAGAGTAAAGTGCCATCTTTATGGCATTCCCCAAGAAAAATGACAACTTTTACATAAAATGACATTTTTTCCTCTGATCGGAGGTGCCGTTGATGGATGGTGGCCAAAGCTGCGGGAAAGGGGTCCATAATTATTTGTTATATTTCTTAATGTATTTTTATCCATTTTTCATTTATTTTTAAAATTTTTTATCTTTTAAAAATATTTATTTTATTTTATATTTATTATTTCAATATTTTTTAAAAAAAAGTTTAGAATTTTTATATTTTTAGTTTAAAAACATTTAAAAGTCCTATTTTAGAATTAATTAGGATAGGGGTATTAAGGGTAGAAAATTAATGTTTACTCCTATTAAAAGAAATTTGAAGTTTTACTTCTATTTGTGCAATTATGTTTATGTTTACTCCTATATTGTACAATTTCTTAATATATATATATATACATACATATATATATATATATATATATATATATATATATATATATATATAATAGAGATCAAATACAAACCATGCTTAATTTACAAAGTACAAACTTATCTTGGCCATCCGATGAGTTGATCTAAGGGATATAAAGGCAAGGTGGCATTTTTGTAATAAAACCTAACTTTTCTAGGGTGCAACTCATTGAACGTTAATGTGCAACTGCTATTTTATGACTATATAATATGCAATACTTTGAACGTCAATATGCAATGCAAATAACGTCAAGGTGCATCGTACAAATTTTTGCACAATAAGCATACTTTGTACTTGATCTTTCCCATATATATATATATATATATATATATATATATATATATATATATATATATATATATATATACACAGGAATATTCCTGTCCGGAATTTCCGGACAGGAACCCCCGTCCGGCCTCCTCCATTTGGGGGCCTTCCCGGTGGCATTTTTTGCTCAAATTTTTGGTGTATGTCCTCATCAAGTCTAGTTCATCCATACCAAATTTCAGCAAACAATTCAATCGAGAAGGTCGTCAAATGATTTTTTTTCAAGTTAACTGGTCCGGAATATGTATTTTCCGGACCAGTTAACTTGCAAAAATCATATGACGACCTTCCCGATTGAATTGTTTGCTGAAATTTGGTATGGATGAACAAGACTTGATGAGGAACATACAGAAAAAATTTGTGCAAAAAATACCACCGGGAAGGCCCCCAAAAGGAGGAGGCCGGACGGCGCTCCGGTCAGGAAATTCCTGACCAGAAGATTACTCTCTCTCTCTCTCTCTATATATATATATATATATATATATATATATATATATATATCTTGAACTTTATATAAACATTTATTCTTTCACTATGATGCATATTTATTACAAACACAAATTTATTGGAATAATTGCATAATTTAAAATACTCTAAACATTGTTAGAATGTGGGCAGTTAACATTCTAAAATTCCATTTGTGTAATAAATAATATTACATCTCTTACAATTTATTTTAAATTATGTAATCATCATCATCACAAATGTAGCAAATTACATTTGTGATGATAATGCTAACATAATTTTTATATGAAGTTTGAGGCATTTATATTACATGTGAAAGTTTGGAACACTTATCTCACACCCATTCAATGTTTTGGATGTTTAAATTATTTTCCCAACAGATACAGAGTATGAATTACAGTATCATTAAATTTTTGACGAATAATTTTTTTTAATTTGATATTCGTGTTACTATATTACAGTAATGTGTAATTATTAATAGTACAAAAAATTAGAGAAAAAATTATTTATTGATTGGTCTTTAAAAGTCATCATCATTACGCCAGTGTCGCAAAAGCTCCCACCCTACACTTGGGTAAGGGGGATCGAATGTACACAGTCTTGCCCCTATACTAAAGCACATAGCTTTTTTCAAAGTAATGTGTTAAAATGTACTACTGTAAAATATTGATTGTTTTTTAGACACAAAAAAATTGATATATTTTTAGATAATAATCTTGAAATATTTATTTTTCTGCTATCATTTATATTTTCAGTTGAAATTATTACGTAATGGAAATTAAATTTTTATATCGTAAATTATTAATTATATATTATTTGGATCATTCAAAAGTTTACTTTTTTACATATGAGAAATATATTTCCCGTGCATCGCACGGGTATAATACTAGTTATATGTAAACATAGCTAAAATGATCATCTACAGTAACTTCAGTCAATACATCCAGAAAAGTAACTCCAACTTGACATTTTCTGCCTATTACACAATTCAGTGCGCGACAACAAAAATTACGTGCTTAGTTAGAAAGTTGGCCGATAAGCCTAATAAGCCAAAAAATAGTGTTGCCAAACGGCCTATTGATCTTCTTGTTTTCATTGTTTACATTGAAATCAATGTTTACATTCTTATATTTCGTATTAGACAAGTTACATTTCGATTTGTCTGCAGTTACATTTCTTATCAACTTGAATTACATTTCCTTACACACGAATATGGGAAAATATACTCCGTAAGTCCGTATTCCAGGACCATATGTCCATATATGATCAAGTATACAAATCAAATGCAAATAAAGACTCTGCAAATAAATACTTCGTATGTAGGTAGGTTTGCCAAAAAAAAATGTGTAGGTAACTAAAGAACACTAGAATACCATTCCATACGTCAAAGGCAATTGATTAATGTCAAAGCAAGAGCAGTTAGTATTGGTAATGAGGTTGTTGACCTGGATTGACCAGCGGACTTCTCCAAGAGTATTCATCCATATCTTTTTGTAAGCCAGAAAAAAATTAGATGAATAATAAAATAAACTCCAAAATGCGGTATATTCAAACATCTAACACATACTCAGATAAATAAATAAAAATTACGGAGTATCTCCCATAGTAGCAGAGAGATGCATCTTAGACAAACAACAGACAGTGATAAAACTGATAATGGATAATAAAGTTTGACGGTTGAAACAGCAGACTTTTACAAAGATGTGTTGGGGGCAAAAGAATCAATTCCTCATTTAGTGAGCATCTTCTTCTTATTCTTCTTCTTTTTCTTCTTCTCCTCCTCCTCCTCCTTAGGGGTGGACTCGGGCCGGTTCGGGCCCGGGCCCGGGCCTCGGTTCATGAAAGGGGAGGCCCGGAACCGGCCCGGGTAACCCCCGGGTCCGGTTCGGACCGGGTCGAGCCTCGGTTCAACTTAATTTTTTTTTTGGCTTTTCCTAATTAACCCCCAACCCTCCCCCTCACCCCCAAACCACCTCAAATGGCCCAAAATACCCAGCTCAATCCAAAAACTTGCAAAAAATTCAAAAAAAAAAGAAAAATAAATAGGCCCGGACCGGGCCCGAGGCCCCAAACCGGCCGGGCCGGTTCACCTTTTCAAGGGCCCGAGCCCGGCCAGGCACCCCAGCGGGTCGGGCCTATCCGGACCGGTCCCTGGCCGGGCCGGCGGTTCGGGCCGGTTCAAACAGTGAGCGGGGCGAGCCGGTTCCGGGGCGGGCCGCCCGGCCCGAGTCCACCCCTACTCCTCCTCCTTGGCATTCTCCATCTCTGTTGTCTCCTTGTCCTTTGCGGCACTCTTAAACGAGTCCTCCACAAACCTGTCCTCAGCAATTGAAAAGAAATAACCAAAGATTACAACTAAAAAATTAAGCAACTCTTCAGCCCAGTCAAGGATGCAAGTTTATAATAAATTGAAGACCAGGTCGTTAACTTACTCTCACATCAATACACATAACACATACCGCAACACGTAAAAAATACATCACAGGATAAATACACTAATCAATTTGATCAGAGATAGATAGAAATGAATGTACTCACATATAACTCTGAACATAGAAACCAGTCTCAATAGAACATTGTGACAGGAGCGTGGCAGAAAACTTGTCCCCTTCGGATTGGAGACTGACCTTTGCATACGCAATATACTGCAATTTACCAGGCCATTCATCTCGCTCACCATCCAAGAATATATGTACGACTGTGCTCCCATCATAGCACTGCTGGGCGAAAGCATGTGGCACTTCTCTGTCGAGTGGCAAGCCTGCCACATTCAATTCTTCCATCACCATGCTTTTGGAAAACAAATCGTAAAGGGACCAAATACCTGCCTGGAGAATAATTAGAAGAAGACTTGAGCTGCCATATTCCAAAGGAATGAGGTGCTTAAATGTCCAAGTTTCCAGCTTTTCAGAGGTGACAGGGAAGTTGTGGTCATAGGTCTCCCACTGGTTCAACTCATAATTAAACGCACGAAGATGAACTGTGCGACTTAATAAACTATTCGAGCACAACATAATCAAAGGCTTCTCACGAAGAGGCTTCCTGGGGTCATTCCACAGAAAATAAGAGTCAAATACCTCATACTCGTGCAATGATTCTACAGGGATTGTTCGAGCCGAGAACTGATTCAAAAGCGGATCATAAATCTTGAGCGCACACCTTTGGCACTTATCACAAAAGATAAGTATCTTGCCATCATAGGGGACTACCAATGGCATCAAATATCCTAGGGGATAGGGATCAACAGTGGGTGGGCATGCGATGGTTTTAGAGCAAAGACTACCTGATGCAGTGGCAGCAGCAGTATCAATGCACCAAATAGCATTTGAACCGTCATCATCATAACCTATCACGCCTACATCTTTTGCAGCATGGCGCCGTAGACCTCCCACGAAGTATAAGCAACTTCCAATACGACAGGCTCCGGAATAGATGAGCACAGTGTCATCTTCTCCCGCACCATCACTGAAAAGTTCCACGTCAACTGGCTCTAGCGCATCAATATGCAGCAAATCTTTCGATATATCAGCCATGGTGAACTTAAAGAACTTCCTGGGGTTTTCTACCTCCGGGTGGTATAATTGTCCAAACACAACAAGTGCCGAGAAACTTAAATCTCCTTCCTCTTTGTTCTCTGTCATGCTGTTTGCTTTTTGTCAGGTTATACTAAATCATCTCCTGCATAATTAAAACATCCCCCAAAATTAACTCTTAAGGAACGGGGAAAAAAATCCACTAGCTGCTAAGTATAAAATCAGTTGAGGGTACATCCAGCAGGTCTCCAAAGTAGAGAAAGGACCATCCATCTGCATATAACGTGACTAGAGCAGCCTGGCCTCACCTTGAGTATGTACTGACATGGAAAGGGCCAGGCTTAAGATTAGTTTGGATAACCACCCTCCCTCCCCCCAAATTATACTTGGGATGTTTTTAGAGGTAATTCCCTAAATAAGACTAAAACAATGTTTAAATGCACAAATAGGACTCTCATATTTTATAGGACCAAAAAGCAACTGATTACACAAAAACGCCCTGGAATTACACGTTAAAAAACCTTCCCCAGGCCCAACTGCCTCATTCGGCCATGCACATGGCCTGAACATCAAACATAGCTGACACCTTCACTAGCTTCCGTGCACGGGCGCCGCTGTTGAGACTGCGCTGCAGCCAAGCAAGACCGCCGCCGCAACCAAGGCAGACCACCACCGCAACCAAGGCAGACCGCTGCCGCAACCAGGCAATACCACTGCCGCAACCAAGGCAGACCGCCACCTTAGCTCTTACATTCCTAGTGCGAGAGTGGAGCCATAGCTAAATTCTTCTCTAGAGTGTTTTCCTAATCACATACTCATGTCTACCTCCTATGGAGTGTATTTTATCAATAATGACAAAAAAATGGCATTTCTACATGCAAAAATATGGAATTTTCAGGTGACAAATCATGGCATTTTCCCATTTTAGAGTCCAAAATGTGAAATAGGAGAAGAAAAATGAAGAAGCAATGTTGCAGAGAAGTTCAATTCAATGCCATAAAAATGCCAGAATTTGTGAAAATGTCAAAACTTTGGCATTTTCAAAGATGCAATGTTCTCATCTCCATAAAAAATGCCATAAATGTGGCATTTTTTACAAGCTGATAAAGATACACAATAATAAAATTTAGATCTGGATGTTTTTGAACAAGAGGTTCGAAATTTCATACCTAACTGTTTTGTATTCAAAAGTTTCAAACCAAAAATTAAATTTCCAGTAAAAATCGAAAACATATTGGAATGAACTGACAGAAATTAATCATAAATGCAAGATGAGTAAAAGGATTAGATCGAGGAGGAGGAACAGGAAGGAGAAGGGGAAGAGGAGAAGAAGAAGGAAGAGAAAGAGAAGGAGGGGATGAGTGGATTACCTGTAGAAGAAGAGAATCGTTGGCCGGAGCCGGTCCGCCGGAGTGGTGGGTGGAAGGGAATCTCAGAACTTGGAGAAAGATGCTGATGCGGTGAAGAAGACTTCGATTGATCGATCGAGGAGTAAGATGAGGAGATTGGGTTTTATTATAGCAGGGGTAATTCCGGAATAAGGAGTCTTATTTAGGAATAATTAAACATTAACTCCCATTTAGGAATTTTGATCATAGTTTGGTCCTATTTAGAGGTAAAAACTCATGTTTTTACTTGGATTGTTTTCAGTCCCACACCAGACCAGACTTCCGTAGTTATAAAATTTACAAAAACCAGACAATTACCAGACCAGACCAAAGATCAGACCAGACCAACAAATTACAGTCCAAGTAAAAACATCCTTAGAATAGAATATCTGAAATATTTATTTCATCATAGTTTTTTTTACCTGTAAGAAGTTCTTACATTGCTAAATAATATAAATCCTTTTGTTTTATTGGTCAATGATACATACAGCTAAACAAGGCAAATGGCAGGTTCAGAACCACAAACAAAGTGTATTAGCAGGATTGATAAACTACAACGGGTTAATGATTAATGCATCATACCAAGCAATGGTATGAAGAACTTTTTCCATTTTTTGAAGTTTACAATCAAGCAGAACCCAACCTAGTTTTTTAATCTAATTTCTTACAAACAAATTCTGCAGTCTCAGGTATTGCTTGAGCACTTCCCCCCATACAATTCAGAATGGGAGAACGTTCAAGTATATATGATGAAAGAAAAAGTATCATATTGAACAAAAAAAGGGATTTATCTAAGTACATTAAATAGTAACTAACGTGGTAAATTAGGCAATTAGCAGCGAAAGATCTAAAAAATCAATACACAGGTAATAACTAAAATCGCAACTATAAAAAGGGGTCCATTACAAAGCAAATTCATCACAAACCATCACTCCGTCTTAATGTGAAAGTTTCACGGTTTAAGTGCAATATGAGTATAACTTAACATATATATGTACATATGTGTGTTTATATATATATACACACATGAAACCAATTAAATGCTTAGTGTAGCTTTATATTGGACCAAAAGCATGTTCCTTTACTACTTCTCACTCTGTGTAATGAACATATCCTTTATTTAATTCATAAAAAGGAACACAAGAGATACATTGTAGAATAATCACTTCAGTTCTTCTGGATGTAGGTGACATTAAGGGTTAGTGTCAAACTTTGTGTATGATCCACTTACAAAGTGTTTTCAAGATCTTTTAGGTTTGGAAAAAGCTTATCTTTTATTTTTAGTGTCATTAATCTTTACACGTGCATTTGCATCAAATTCATTGACAACATATTTTATTGATTGTACTGCAAATACCATTTCACAAAATTGTATTTGTCACTAGAGGTGGGCCAGGACTTGGTTAGGACACCTACATAGAATGTTTGTGAGAGATGTCACCTAATTTTGTCACCTAAAATGTTTGTGAGAGATATCACCTAATTTTGGGGTTGTTTAAGGACACTACTACTTTTGTCCATTACATTGAAAGTGCAATTAACATACTACCTCCGTCCCGTTGGAATGTTCCCACTTTCCTTTTTTGGATGTCCCAATGGAAAGTTCTCATTTCCCTAAATGGAAAGTTATCCTACATCAAAACAGTGTCAAACAGTGCAAAACAGTGTCAAACAGTGTCAAACAGCGTCCAAACAGTGTCCAAACAGTAAAATTTACCCCCTGATAAGTTTATTTCCTTAATATGTGTGTAGGTCAAACCGGGAACATTCCAACAGGACGGAGGTAGTATCACTTTTAAAGCCAAACAAAACCTCAAGTCAAGAAACTGGTGCAAAAGGTGTATTTTTTTGTATTCGACTTACATTATTCCTTCAAAGAGGTAATTGTCTCCTATACTTTTTTTTTTAATTTTTTCAATGAACGTAACAAAATTGAGTTTCCATAAGTCTCATAAATATTACTCCCTCCGTCCCGCTAAGATTGTCCCATTTTACCTTTTCGGGAAATCCCACTAAGAATGTCTTATACCAAATTTGGTAAAGTTTGTGTGGCTCTAAATCATTCCTACTTTATTTTTACTCTTTCAATTCAATACCAACCACATAAACTCACTTTACTTAATAACCGTGCCACCTTCTTACGTCCCAATATTAGTGGGACGGAGGTAGTAGTTTTTTGAAGTTTAAGTATCATAGTATTCATCAAAATATTTAGAAGTATATATGTAAATTTGAAATCTTAGCATTCTGAAATAGTAGTTTTATACTTAGTATAAAAGAGTTACTCAAGTCACAGACAAAACATAAAGGTTGATAACACCTTTAAAAGGTATATGAAGAGAAATCATAACCTATTATGCACTCTCCTGTATAGTTTCCAAGTGCTCTTTCAACATAGACATGATCCGAAAATTTAACAAGTCACACAAGTTGCAAATGTAGGTGGAAGAGAGTGTATTTGATGACATAGTAGATTCACTCATTTCAATCTATTGCAAATGTATAAATGTAATGTCCTTTAGATTGTTAAAAACACATTATTGATCCATTTTGTAAGAGTATGTAATTATAGTAGTCTTAAATTAATCACGACTTTTTTACTTATGATTAAATAGACATTCATTGAAAAAACTTCCAAATGAAATTATATTTTGGAATGATAAATACATACATCAGTTGGAGTTTTGAAAAGAAAAAATACGGAGTAGTAAAAACTATAATATTGAATAGAAAAAAATAGCTTTCTTATACGAGTACAATAACCAACCTGAAAAAATCAGCAGTCTAAAAAACAAATTATACATGTAAAGCTAAATGGAAAACCAAACAACGACCTGACATCGAACAAACTCCAAACAAATTACCTAATTTTTTTGGATGAACCTAAAAAATAAATCTGAATAAGGCTAATACAATAAGAATTTGATAAGATTGTAAAATACTCCGTACTAGTAAATCTAAATGCATACAGAGGTTAATGGAACACTTGATTATCGAGATAAAAGAAAAATTAACACAAAGCATAACCAAGCAATTTAGCGCACGCAGAAGATTTCAGACCTGGTGCGACCAATACATTGATCTCAAATGGTGAAAAACCACTTCATTGATTTGATTTTTCAATTTTGAATTAACGACACATGGTATTTTGGAATGATCTAATGAATGATTCATACTGAGTATTTAAATAAAAACACGACATTGACAGAAATTACCGTTTGGGTGAGACCGGTGATTATTTTCGATTCGTGTGACGATGGTGACTGATGATCGAGGGCGACGGGGCTGAGCGACAATCGATGAGGGAGAAGCTGCATGCCTATCTGGGGTGAGGTTATCTTCCTTAGAGACCACTGATGAGGATAAGGGGTGCGAGGTTAACGGCGAATAGCCCTTGCGGTGAGAGGGTAAGACGAGATGCGAGTCTAGGGAGGTTACACGCCTAATCATGAAAACGTGATTATAGAGTTCATGTTTCATGTTTGAAAATGTGACCTGTGTTTTTTATATGAACTATTTTGCGATCATATATGAAAAGAATCATTTTAGTTAAATGTTAACATCTTTTTATTGTGAAGTTTTTATTGTGAAGTGCTCCGTATTTTGAAACTGTGACCTCCTCTTTAAAAGTGTTAATGATGCTATCGAACTCATGGACGTAGCTATGATTGAAGATTGTGATAGGTTGGTACAAAAAAAAATTATATAAGTTTTTACATTGAAAATACAAAAACACAAATTTGGATTGAGCCATTGTCTAGTTGGCTTGGCAACATTTAATAGGCCATGCAACATTTAGTCAATTCTGTCTTATTATCTTTTTCTCACCTTTTTCTTTTTTATATACCTAACTAAATTAATCGCTTATCATATTGGGTAGTATTTATGTGATTCTGATTCATTCTTAACTACTAGATATATTTACGTTTTATCAATTTAATATAAATTACATGTCTCCAACTTTCTGACAAGGGAAAATTATGATTAGCCCCCTGAGGTTATATCATAATTATTAATGCAACATTGCATTTTTAAAAATCAATTAGTTACCCCTTAAGATATGATTATTTTCACCGTTTGCCCCCTCATGTTAATATTTATTAAATTTAATTTAATATAACTCTTAAATTCAATAAAAACTATCTATAAAATTAAATTTTAGAGTAAATCACAATTTAACATTATTATAAGTCATTGTTGTTTATCGTTATTTTTATAATTAGCTACTCAATCATGGAATAATGAAAGTAGTTAAGGGAAAAGACTCATGAGTAAGATATAAAATATTATGAATTTATATTTTTTATTTTAAAAAATTAAATATCATTTAAGTTTATTAAATTAATAAACTTTTTGAAGAAGAAATCATCAAAATTAGTAATATAATTAATACAAAATTAAACAAATCCAAATCTATAATATACGGAGTATATTTTAGTTCTGAGATCGATAGGTTTCATTTAATCAAACCTTATATCGATACATTTTTGTCTTTTAGGTCTCTTATCAATACTAGATCAATCTTTTACGTCATGGATTGATAAAATTCATTTTCTTGGTTATTCGCTACATATGACAGAAGTGTTATTGAGATTAATTCGTCTGGATGAATTACAAATAAGACTTTTATATTGATGATGAAGAGGTGTATATAATTTTGATAGCACATGTTTCAAATAATATTTCTTTTATGTATCCCATGAATATTACTCAATTAAGACTCTTCTACCTTAACTACTTTGATCAATATTTATTCCACAATCGAGTAGCTAAGTAAAAAAATAACATTAAAAAACAATGACTCATAATTATGATAATAAATTGTGTTTTACTTTAAAAATTAATTTCACAGACAATTTTCATTGAATTTAAGAATTATATTAAATTTAATTTAACAAATATTAACATGAGAGGGACATATAGTGAGAATGATCAAAACTCGGGGGTAACTAATTGATTTTTAAAAAAGCAAGGTTGCATTAATAATTGTGGCATAACCTCAGGGAATTAATAATAATTTTCCCTTCTAACAATCACGTAGCTTCATGATGTCCGGCCAATATAAATTCTACCGGTTTTAGGATAAAAAACAATAACGCTTATACTCGGGAGCATAGCCTGGAAAAACACAC